TTAAAGAATAAAGATTAAAGATTAATGCGAAGTATTTTCAATCAGTAAGGTTAGGTAATAGTCAAAAGGCTATAGCTTATAGGTATTGCAGCACGCAACCAGTTATTATTTCATTAGTATACAGTATGCTAGATACCACAGCTTTCAAGCAGGGCTATCACAACTGCGAGTTGATTGTACAATATTCGTTATTTAATATACTCATTTCTATATTTTGATACAAGGTAGCACAAGACAAATAATATTTATTTACATATATATCCCGGGTGGCGCAAAAAAAGTTCAGGCGTTTGATCTATCATAGCGAAAAAACTATAAGAGCTATACGTCACTCAAATAAATGTAGCTGTATTAATAAAAGGCTAACTTAAATTTTGATAGGTTATACATGAGATATCACGAAATATTGACTGAGATACAAGCATTTAAATTAAACTTGCGTAAGCATTTTCAAAAGAATCGAAAATTAGTCTAAAATGGCCCATTGAACTAAATTTGATATCATTCTGATTAGACATTACACAGACATTACACTAAGACTAAGTTGTGGTGAAGCTTATAGCGAAGGCAAGATGGGAAAAACTAGCAGCAGTGAAACTATAAGACTAAGGGAGGGCAAAAAGAGAAAGGAAGAGAATGTGCATAAAGGAAGAGAATGTGCATAAAGAACGTTCAAAATATTATCAAGAGAACAAAGAAAGCATCAACCGTAATTGGTGTGAAAAGCAACAAAAAGCCAAGGAGTTAAAGGTTGCCAAGCAAAGCATTCCTGATAGTGAAACGTTACTGATAACAGTGCGACAAAAAAATACGACTGGGTGCTATATAAACGGCGACAACGCGCAAGGGCCAAAGAGGAGATAAAACAAAAAGAGGAAAAGTCAAGAGCCACAAAATCAAAATGCAGACACAGTAGCGAAGTGTCTGGTCAGTGTGGTGACAAAATGTTCCCTACAAGAATGGCTAAAAAGCGGAAAGTCAAATTTAGTAAGATTGCAGCTTCCTTAAAGTCCAGCGAAGAAAATATCTGTTGTGGCTGCACTAATCAAAAGCCCAACAACGAGGAAAGAACTAGAGAGCAGAGGTCTAGTTGTTTCAGGGGAAAAAGTGAAGAAGCTGAAGTTGTTGTTTCTGTGTTGTGCGACGCACGAGATGTCATTAGCGACACAAAAGGTCAACGATCTAACAACTCTCAGGCAGCTACTCAGACAGCTCTTGGCTTTCTTTGTGGTGAAACAATTAAAAAAAAACGTATGAAGACGAAAGTATCCACAATGCTTAATATAAATAGGAAACACATTGGTAAAGCATTTAACCATCGCACCAAAGTACTTAAGTGGCTGTCTCACTAATAACCATGCAGAGCGTTTCAGGTTGAAAATTAGATTTCCGAATGGCCAACCCGATTTTCCGAATATGTTAATTCTAAAAAAAGTTGGGGGGTTAACCACCCCACCCCCCCTAATAGAGCTATTTTATAGCCATGACTTATGAATTTTGCACTCCTTCATATTCCTTTTGCCGACAAGTTTTATTGCGAATAACATAACTTTAAGTATTCTACTTTAACCCTAAAAGTGTTTTAGACACCAGGTAGGTTGCACTTTTGAGAATTTTAACTTTGAACTTTGTACCTAATCATTAGTTGTTTGGCGAACGAAAATACAGACATGATGGAGACTAATAAGCTTAAAATAAGATGTACATTCAAATTCTTTCAACATTCTAAAAGAAGAAGAATATGTCTCAATACGCTGAAAAAGTTTTTAATTTGACACGAAACTTTCCAAGTTATGATGCACAATTTAACACACATTTGACCTCCGTTTTCGGGGTCAAATTTCAGTGTCGCTGACGTCCAGACAAAAAATCGTCATAACTCGAAAAAAAAAGAAAAATTTGGAAATTCTAATATTAGTTTAATACCTTTTAGGACAAAGGTAGTTCATGGTAAAAATATAAAGGAAATCTAATTTTCAACCTGAAACGCTCTGCATGGTTCTTAGTGAGACAGCCACTTGAAAGCAAGAAATCTTGTTGGACCTATACAGAATGGCGAACTAGGTCTGATGTCATCCCCACAGAACATTGAAAGCTTGCGCACAACTTTTGGTCTAGCCCCAATATTTCCCGGACAACCCCCAATAAAAAAGACATTGTAAGAAAGAGGTTAGCACCCAAGACATACGTAACACACGCCAAACAAATCCTGGAGAAAACTCAAACTGAAGCATACCTGGAGTTCAAACAGAAGTATCCTGATTTTCAAATGGGACAGCATTCTTTTGAAAGCTGCAAACCCTTCTATATTTCCACTCCACAGTCCCAAGATAGAGTTTCCTGTTGCTGCCGCATACACGTTGAAACTAGGATGGTTTTTCAGTCATGCATGGAATTCAGATGACAACTCTTTCACTGTCCCGAAGAGTATGTGGTGTACAAACATATGACTGCTTTGGTCAACGATATATTGCGTCCAAAACAACAAAATGAAGAATACCATCATCCCGACTGCCTTCTTCAGAAGTGCAAAAATTGCGGAGTAGCAGGTTTTAACGTATTGGAGAAAATGATTCCATTGACGCTGCACAGTTAGTAAAATGGCGAAAGTTTGAGTATGTTGTCCTTGGTGTTAACGATGATAACTCAGACAAAAATAAGCTCAAGTTAGTTCACAAATTAACTTCCCCAGGTGAAATGTTTGCTTGCTTTCAGAATCTCCTGCAGACCTATCCTGCATACCAATTCCAAGCTAATTGGCAAAATCAGCAGCTTCATGAGCTAGTCGAGAATATACCAATTGGCCATGCCGTGGCAATTCACAATTACTCAGAAAACTACTTGTGTGCAATGCAAGATCAGATCCAATCCCTTTACTTCGCCCAAGTCCAAGCATTGTTATTATTCTACATCACCATGCTCTGATGAATGTGGACAGAATTGAAAGCACAGAAGAAAACCCATCCCTTGTCACAGAACATATTTTTGTAATCTCTCCTGACTGTAAGCATGACCACCACTCGGTACATACTGCTAGAAAACTCATGGCTGGTTATCTCAAGGAAATAGGTATGAAATTAAAACTGTACAAGCCTTATTAATTACAATATTATATATTTCGCAGTAATATGGCTGAACTGGTTTAAAACATTAGGTTCATAGTGATATGGCTTGAAATCTGGTTAATTTAATAAGAACTATTTGTTGAGAGTTGACGTTCATCAATTGACTAAGTATAGCCACTAGGCCAGGCACAGTTTACCATGGTTAGGCACAGTCTATATATGCAGCCTTATACATGTGAGTCAATTGAGCTGATTTGTAGTATATTCTGCATTGATATGGCTAAAATTTGGTTTAAGATATTAGGTTTATAAATAACTCAGTAGGTTGGGCACGGTCTATATACAGCCTTATGCGAGTTACTTAGCTGATTTGTAGTATATTCCACATAGTGATATGGCTAAATTTTGGATTAAGTAATATTTCTTTTGCAGGTTCAATATTCGGTTTAATAACTCAGTATGTCACAGGCAAGGTCTGGCATGACTAAGCATGGTCTAAGCACGTACTAAGTTATTCAACCCATTCAATGCAGGAATTTCTCAATAAGACCAAGTTTTTCAAAATTTCAATTGCATGGGCAAATAATTGTAACAATATTTTAGGGAAAAAGAAATTAAGCTAATTGCGAAAATTATATAGGTTATGATGTGAAAAGTATGCATGAATGGACAGATGCTCGATGCAGTACAAAAGCCGCCACTGTATGGGTGACGTTGCTCAATCATCTTCAGATTTTGGCTATGTAACCCATCCGTAACTACTTCGAAACTTCACATGCAAAAGGTCCTCAAAACGGTGCCGGGACTAACCTTAAACACAAAGCTGACATGGCTGTCATTAAACGGCAGGTAATGACTCACTCATGATCTTAGCTATTCTTCATCCATTTCGCAGTTAATTTAAATGGTAGTGACTCTGAAATCCCTGGTCTTGATTGGCTAACTTTTGTGGTAAATATATAATTAACTCTACAGTAATTCATACAACCAGACCCTGGCTATAAATTGCCTACTATACTGTTTTCATTAGTACTATATAAAGGTCACGACTACTTGCAAGCGCAATTTCTGTGCAGTCTCAGAGCCATGTTATGCTGAAATTTATGCCCTGTGCCAGAAATTGTGTTGCATGTTGCAACAAAAATTGCCTCATGTAACATGGCCCTAAACTATTTTACTTAATGAAAACTATATTTTTTTCTTTCATGGAGGTTGTCATTCGAAATGCAAAAGAATTGTACGAGTTCGCTGAGAGTACAATGAAAGATCCAGCACCCTCGTGATACCAGTCTGAGAGTGTTAAAGTGAAACAGTGTATATTTTTCTATGATGATGAAATACTCCGCAACCGGAGAGATAGATATTTTAAAGAAATGAAGGGGAATAGATCTATCCATGCAGTCGTGTCAACGGACGATGGTTGCAGTTTAAGTTCGAAGTTTCTGTCATGTCACTGCGACTAGATGCATGTTTAAACTGGTCTTACGAATCATGTGAAAATTCTGCATATGTTGCAAGAACTGGAATGAGAGGGTGGTCATCAACCCACTGTCGTTACCAGAGGGGATGTTTCTATGACACTACAAGCAATAAAACACCTAGCAACGAAAGATGCAATTGTTGCTATTGCTTCTGCTGACAGAGGAGAGGAGTATTATTTACTTCAAGTAATTGGAGACGCCCCAGAGGTGCTATCGACTCAGGAAAGAGATGATTGGGGAGCTACATACCCACCAGGAGCTGAGATCATTCACAGATATTTCCTTGCCAGAAAGCGATCTTCAAGTTCTCATTATTACGAACTAGTAAGAGAGAAAGAAGCTGCCGTTTATGCTGCAACTGTCAGGTATATTTGTCACAAGTTGTGCGTACCCAATATCCAAGCATAACCACTGTTATACGAAATTTCCAAAGAGCTACATAAGGATATACTCGAATCTTTGCATGGATTTTAAGCAATTATCATTGTGTGTATGACGCGGCATATTTTAATGCGCTGAACTTTTGTATGCTCGGGTCAAGTTGATAATTTTGTATTATTATCTGTTCCACGTAATATTATAACATATTA